TTCCCATAAGGATTCTGCGGGGTCCTTTGCTTCATAAGTTGAGATTACTTTGAAAAGCATCCTATAAAGATTGTTGTCCTGGATCATTCCCACTGCTCGAACGTCATCGTTAAGGCTAATTTTTACATGATCAGTAGTGAAGACCACTGTGTAATTCTTTCTGGTACACGCTCCTACAGAGAATAAATTCTTTTTCATGGTTGGCACATAAAGAACATTTTCAAGCCTGCCATCATGCCAGGCACCGTCGACAAATCTTTTGATTAGAATTGTGCCCTTGCCTTTGATCTCATGTAAACCTTGATCTGCGAGCGATATAAAATTATTGCTTGTTTCCACGAATTCATGAAACCAGTTCTTATTAAATGTCATATGGCAGGAGGCGCCACTATCCAGAAACCATAGATTCTTACGGTCAGAATTGTCAAAATCAGAATCCACATAAAAGGCACTTGTATTCTGTTTTTTATCTTTAGACTCGGATTCATTGTCCTTGATTTTCTGCAGTCTCTTGCGACAATATTTAATTGAATGTCCAATTTTGTGACAGTAGTAGCATTCAGTAGTAGATTTATGATCGCTCTTCCTTTTTTTATTTTCTTCACGCTGCACAGATTGCTTGGGTTTGCTGACTTTGACAGCTGCCAAGGCATTGGCTGTTTCATTTATTGTTGTTAAGCGACTTTCTTCTTTTAAAAGACGAAATCTTAGGTTGTCCAGCGATTGCCTTGTTGGATCAACGCTGTCCCAAGCGGTTATCAGAGCGTTATACTTGGAAGGAAGACTTCCAAGTATTTTTGCCATGAGCGTTACACAGAGACTGGCTCATCTACATCTCTCAGCTGACGTGCCATGTTTTCTACTGTGGCAAAGTGTTTGGCAATTGAGTCGTTCTCTGACATTCTGTAATCATGAAAACGTGTCATTAGATGCAATTTATTTACCTCACTCTGTTGTTCGTGTATCGAACAAAGTTTGGCCCACATTTCAGCTGAGGACTTGCATGTAATGAGATATTCAAGTTGTTCACTTTCCATGGAGGATGAAAGAATGAACATTGCTTTCGCATCCTTTTTAATCCAAACCTGCTTCTCAGCAGCCTCTTCAGGTTTCAGCATTTTTCCTTGGACTATTTGAAGGATGTCGTTCGCTGTTAAAATGGCCTTGATCTGAAACTTCCAGGATTGGAAGTTTGTGCCATTAAATTTAAAGACATTTCTGAGATCTATGCTTTCGGACATGATGTGTTACTTATCTCGTTCTTGTGCTTTTTAATACGGTAGGGTGTGGCGTGTCTTCTGGGCCTATAACCTGTTGGGAGAGTATGCACGCAGGGCTGGACTCCTCGTATGAAAGAATGAATGTTTTACACTTGAACAAATAGAGTTTATTGTGGTAACACAAAAGCAGTATAAACTGAATTGATACACTTGTGATCAGTTCCTGCTACAGAAAAAAGGTAAAAGGACAACCAGCGCAGGAAAAAATAAAACGTGCGATAAGCTAGCGTAACAACTAGCGACCTACACCGGAAGAAGCTACTAACTAAAATATGGCGCTACAATCGTAAGGCTCGGTATTTAATAAGGGCGCGAGAATTATAAAAATATATGCAACACTCCCACTATTTGAGTGCTTTGTCATACTTAACCATACCAATTAACTTAATTAGATTATGAAATTTGTTTTTCGCAAGAGGTTTTGTCAGAAAATCTGCACACTGTTCATCTGATTTTACATACTCTGGTATTAATGTGTTGTCATTAAACTTATCTCTGATATAGTGAAATCGAATATCCACATGCTTGGTCCTTCTGTGAAATTCGGGATTTTTTATTAATCTAATAGCACTTTGGCTATCAATATGTAAGGGAACTGGTTCTTCATGTGGGTAGTCGAGATCACTTAACAATTGTCGGATCCATACAAGCTCCTTCATTGCCAGAGTAGTGCAGCAATGTACTCCGACTCAGTAGTACTTAAAGCAACTACGCTCTGTCTCTGCGAGGCCCACGAGATACAGCCTCCAGCAATGGTAAAAACATATCCGGATGTAGGACGTCTGGATTCTGTATCCGCGGCATAATCTGCATCTGAATAAGCAGTCAAAGAATTTTCTTGTTCTGTTCTTTTATAGAGTATTCCATGATCTATCGTTCCTTGCAAGTATCTGAATATTCTTTTTAAAGCTGTCCAATGCTCCGTTGAATAACATACTGTAAAACGACTTAAAAAATTAACAACATATGAGATATCAGGACGAGTTAATTGCGTAAGGAACATCAGACTGCCTATTGCTTCACGGTAAGGTATATTTATGTCGGGAACCGATTCATTCTTCGTTAAAGATAAGAGAGAGTTTGGATCTGCGGGAATACTTACAAGTTTAGAATCAGACATGTTAAAACGATTCAGCAGTTTTCTAATGTATGTGCTCTGATTAATAAAAATTGAGTGATTAATGCGATCTCTTACAATTTGGAAACCTACAAATGAACCTATAAAAATGTCAGTAATGTCGAAATTTCCTTTTAATACCTGAATTACTTCATATAAGGCCCTTTTTGATTTGGCAAGCAATAATCCGTCATCTATGTAAAGCGCTAAATATACGTTACAGTTGTCATAGTTTCCATTGTACACACAGGGATCGGCTTTGCAAGGTACAAAATTAAAATGTCTGAGAAAGCTGTCGAACTTGCTGTTTCATTGACGAGAAGCTTGCTTCAGGTCATACAGAGATTTTTGCAACCGACAGACTTGTTCTGGTGTGTCCTTGGTGACTCCTTCTGGAACTTCCATGTAGATCTCCTCACATAAGTCTCCGTGTAGGAAAGCCGTTTTTATGTCAAATTGTTCAATTTTCAGATCTTGTTCCGCTGCGATACTTAGAAGAATTCGAATGGACTCGTGTCTTACCACTGGAGAGAAAATTTCTTCATAGTCTACACCACGCCTTTGTGTGAAACCTTTGGCACACAGACGAGCTTTAAAACGTGGACTTTGATCTAATGATTCCTTTATCTTGAACACCCATTTATGGCCAATAGTGGCTTTCCCTGGAGGGAGATGTTCCATTTTCCAAGTACCATTAATGCGATGAGCCTTTAGTTCCTCGTCGATCGCCTTTCTCCATTCTTCATTGTATGAACCAGTCACAGCCTCATGAAAGGTTTGGTGTTCCATTATTTCGGATAAGTTTGCTTCATACCTCGTCGGTTTCTTTATTTTACTCCTGTCTCGGAGCACAGACCCCTTCTTTACGAGGTTCGGTGATTCCTCTTCCTGGGATGTGGAACAAGTTTCATATTCATTTGTTGAAGTATCATCGGTCGAAGCGTTCTGATTTGTCAAAGCATATTCTTGCTCAGCGTTGCTTTGAATGTTATTGTTGCTTTCATCAAGTGGAAAAGAAGTTTCATTTTCTTCGATTAAGGCAATTTTCGTGTCGACTTGTTTATTGAAGACTACATGTCTTGATATTGAAATTTTTCTAGTCGATGGATCATAGAGTCTGTAGTTCGACGATTCCTTTTCATAACCAACGAAAAGAAGTTTTTTGGATTTAGCATCCCATTTTTTACGATGCTGCTTTGGGATGTGTGCAAAACATTCAGATCCAAAAATTTTTAGACGAGATATGTCTGGCTTTGTTTCTGTCCAGATTTCAAATGGCGTCTTTCCTTGAAGCCATCTAGAGGGTACTCGATTTAGAAGGTAGACAGCACAATTCACAGCTTTAGCCCACAGCTGAATTGGTAAACCTTTTGAATGTAGCATTGCTCGTGCTGATTCGACTATGGCCCTATTATCTCTTTTTGAACGACCATTCTGCTGGGGCGTGTCTGGAGCCGTTGTTTCGATTTCCCATGAATCCTAAGATATTGATCCATCCTTTCGTTGATATATTCAGTGCCATTATCAACTCTTAGTGTCTTGATTGGGAGTTGAAATTTATTAATGATCTTTGCATGAAAGTCTTTGAACTTATCAAACACGTCTCATTTATGTTTTAAAAAATAAATGTGTCTAAAACCGGAAGCGTCGTCTTTGAAATTGACATAGTACCTCGAGCCTCCAATTGATGGTTCTTGCATTGGACTACCAACATCGGAATGTATGAACTCGCCTGGTCTTGTATTTCTGGGTGGAATTGCTTTACTGAAGGGCAGTTTGTGTTGCTTTCCATACAGACAAGCTTCGCAAAAAATAGAAACGTTTCTCTGAGATATATTAATTGGAAGAACACCCTGTTTGTTCAGTTCATATAATGATTTGTACCCGATGTGTCCTAGTCTGGCGTGCCATAATGGATGTTGGGAGTGGATGACAAAGGACCCCGCAGAATCCTTATGGGAAATGGCTTTCGGCTAATTTTTTTAAAAATTTGATATGTTGTAGTTCTCAACACGTAGAACAAAAGTGTCCATGGCCCCAAGGTCCGATCACGGGTAGTTTTCGAGATACACCTCTCCAAAGTTGGACTTTTCGTACCTTATTGCAGCGTAATGCGGGTGCAGTCGATGTCGATGTACGATGATGCTTATGATTAAAGTGGGCGTACACGAGCTCCAGACTAATACGTACAATAATATTCATTAATTGGATCATTAGTATTTTCTCGTAACGATCATCGGATCGGTCGTCCGGTTTTCCGTACGGTGCCACGGTCCGTGGTCGGAATCTCACCGCTATGACGGCATGGCGTTTAACGGTCGAACATGAGTTTTTTGAGGTCGAGACTCAGAATCTTCTGTATAGACGACTTAGGGCTTCGATAACATTGGCTTAAAAACGTATACTTACGAGTTTATATACCCGCGATTTCTTATTTCAATATTTATTGTTATACTGTCAATTGTTCATCCCTTCTATACTCATAGTCAAGATATTTATCTTAAGAAAAGAAATATTTTTTTTCTCCATACCATACGTCATTTTTAGGTAATATCCCTTCAAGTACGAATAACTTCTTCTGGTAAATATAATCCGCTGATGAATATAGATTCATTCATTATCCCAATAGAAAAATCTGTTATTGGTAGTTTGCTTTAAAAAAGTTCCCGTTCACTTCACTGTCATCACCCTCCAGTAAAAAAATGGCTGCCATAGTACGGCCGCTATGTTATACATGTAATAGACCGTTCAATATTCGTCAATTGGCACGTATGGATGGTGATGAGAACGTAAATAAACGCCAAATAGCTATTACAAGGCGTGATGAGTTTGACCATCCCCCTTTACATCTTGATGATAATTCAAGGTTGTGTATAAACTGTAATCGGTCAATTATTGATGAAATGGCTATGATCGAGGCAGATCCTACTTGTGTACGATTAAATGTCTTGACTCAAACAGCATCCCAGACTTGCGTCATTTGTAATGTTCAAAATAATGTACGAAGATTATCAATACAATGCAGAGTTCAGGTCTTCATAGAAACAAATATCTATATACCGGATAATGTGAGGAGTTGTGAAAATCATTTGGATGAAAATGGCTTTTTTTCGAAAATATTATTACCTGCACTACGTTTCATCAATAGACCTTATGTTATCAAGGGTCCACAGTTGCAAGTTTTTTTACCAACTGAGAAACGTGGGTGCAAATAGAACAAGAGGTATAGAGGAAAATCACTTAACTGATGAGGAATTTCAGTGTATAGCACCAATCGGTAAACAGCAGTTTGAAGAACTTTTTACTTATTGTGATCCTGTACTCCAAAATGGAAAACTAAGGTACGTCAGTAGAAAGGATTTGTTGGTATTCTTGTGCAAGATGAGACAGGGGTTGAGTGACGATTT